CCGGTACATCGTCCACTAGTACACACTCGCGATACATCGTCATAGTACACACTCACGCGGTACATCGTCCACTAGTACACTCACGCAGTACTCACGTCCACTAGTACACACTCACGCAGTACGTCCGTCCACTAGTACACACTCACGGTACTGCGTCACTAGTACCTCCGCGGTACATCGTCCTAGTACACACTCACGCAGTACCTCGTCCACTAGTACACTCACGCAGTACGCTCGTCACTAGTACACACTCACGCAGTACATCGTCCACTATTACACACTCAAGCAGTACACTCGTCCTAGTACACCTCAGGCGTATATCGTCACTAAGTACACACTCACGCAGTACATCCGTCACTAGTACACACTCACGCGGTACCTCCGTCCACTAGTACACACTCGCGGCGTACATCGTCCACTAATACGCTCATGCAGTACGCCGTCCACTAGTACACACTCACGCAGTACGCTCGTCCACCTAGTACCTCACGCCAGTACATCGTCCACTAGTACACACTCACAGAGTGCTACGTCCACTAGTACCTCTGCCGTACATCGTCCACTAGTACACACTCACGCGGTACTGTCGTCACTAGTACACACTCGCAGTACGTAATGCGTCACCTGGTACACCTCCGCATGATCTGTCACGTCCACTAGTACACACTCACGCGGTACGTCGTCACTAGTACACACTCACGCAGTACATACGTCCTAGTACACACTCGCAGTACTCGTCCCTAGTACACTCACGCAGTACATCGTCCACTAGTACACACTCAGGCAGCGTATATCGATCACTAGTACACCTCCGCGTACATCACGTTCACTAGTACACTCACACGCCAGTACGCTCGTCCACTAATTGCACTCACGCCAGTACATCGTCATAGTACACACTCCGCAGTACATCGTCCACTAGTACACACCACGCAGCCGGTGTCGTCCACTAATTGCCTCTCAGGCGGTACTGTCTCGTCCACTAGTACACACTCATGATACGCCGTCCACTAGTACACACTCCGCAGTACATACGTCACCTAGTACACACTCGAGCAGTATCGTCCGCACACACTCAGGCGTTACATCGTCCTAGTACCTCACGCAGTACAGCCGTCCACTAGTACACACTCGGGCAGTACATACGTCCACTAGTACGCTCAGGCAGTACATCGTCCACTGGTACACTCACGCGGTACGCCGTCCACTAGTACACACTCGGGCAGTACATCGTCCACTAGTACACACTCCGCGGTACATCGTCCACTAGTACACACTCACGCAGTACATCGATCACTAGTACACACTCCGCGCAGTACATACGTCCACTAGCAGTACACACTCACGCCCAGTACATCGATCACTAGTACACACTCCGCGCAGTACATCGTCCACTAGTACACACACTCGGGCAGTACGCTCGCCACTAGTACACACTCAGCCGGTATCACGTCCACTAGTACACTCACGCAGTACATGCGTCACTAGTACACACTCACGCCCAGTACATACGTCCACTAGTACACACTCACGCAGTACATCGTCCACTAGTACACACTCACGCAGTATACGTCCACTAGTACACACTCCAGGCAGTACATACGTCACTAGTACACTCACGCAGTACATACGTCCACTAGTACACCTCCACGCGGTACATCACGTCCACTAGTACACACTCACGCAGTACATCGTCCACTAGTACACTCACGCAGTACATACGTCCACTAGTACACTCACGCAGTACATCGTCCACTAGTACACACTCCGCGCAGTACTCGATCGCCCATACACACTCACGCGGTACATACGTCCACTAGTACACACTCATGCAGTACATCGTCCACTAGTACACACTCACGCAGTACCGCCGTCCTAGTACACACTCACGCAGTACATACGTCCACTAGTACACACACTCATGCAGTACATCGTCCACTAGTACACACTCAGGCGATTCGCGTCCACTATTTCACTCAGGCAGTACATCGTCCCACTGGTACACACTCCGCAGTACATACGTCACTAGTACACACTCACGCGGTACATCACGATCACTAGTACACACTCACGCGGGTACGCGTCCATAAGTACACACTCAGCAGTACGTCACGTCCATAGTACACACTCAGGCAGTACATCGTCCACTAGTACACACTCACGCAGTACATCGTTCACTAGTACACACTCATGCAGTACATACGTCCACTAGTACACACTCACGCAGTACATCACGTCCACTAGTACACACTCATGCGAGTACATCGATCCACTAGTACACACTCACGCGGTACATCGTCCACTAGTACACACTCGCGCAGTACATACGTCCACTAGTACACTCACGCAGTACATCGTCACTAGTACCTCGCGTACGTGTCACTAGTACACACTCGCATGTACATCGTCCACTAGTACACACTCAGGCGGTACATGCGTCCACTAGTACACTCAGGCAGTACATCACGTCCACTAGTACACACTCGCGCAGTACATCGTCACTAGTACACACTCACGCGGTACATCGATCACTAGTTCGCACTCACGCCCAGTACATCGTCCACTAGTACACACTCAGGCAGTACATCGTCCACTAGTACACACTCACGCAGTACATCGTCATACAGGACACACTCACGCAGTACATCGATCCATTAACACACTCAGCCGGTACCTCGTCCACTGTACACTCACGCAGTACTCGTCCACTAGTACACTCCGCGTACGCTCACGTCCACTAGTACACACTCCGGAGCGGTACATCGTCACTAGTACACACACCGGTACATCGTCCACTAGTACCTCCCTCACGCCAGTACATCGTCCCTAGTACACACTCAGGCGGTACATACGTCCACTAGTACACCTCCATGATACGTCCACTAGTACACACTCACGCAGTACATCGTCCACTAGTACACACTCACGCAGTACATCGTCACTAGTACACTCACGCCAGTACATCGTCCACTAGTACACACTCACGCAGTACATCGTCCACTAGTACACACTCAGGCAGTACATTCGTCCACTAGTACACTCACGCCAGTACATCGTCATGTACACTCACGCGGTACATCGTCACTAGTACACACTCCGGCGGTATCGATCACTAGTACACACTCACGCAGTACATACGTCCACTAGTACACCTCAGCGGTACATCGTCCACTAGTTACACTCACGCAGTACATACGTCCACTATACACACTCACGCATATATCAGTTCACTAGTACACGCAGTACATACGTCCACTAGTACACACTCACGCAGTCACCACTAGTACACACTCACGCAGTACATACGTCCACTAGTACACACTCAGGCAGTACATACGTCCACTAGTACACACTCATGCAGTACATACGTCCACTAGTACACACTCACGCAGTACATACGTCCACTAGTACACACTCACGCAGTACATACGTCCACTAGTACACACTCACGCAGTACATACGTCCACTAGTACACACTCACGCAGTACATACGTCCACTAGTACACACTCACGCAGTACATACGTCCACTAGTACACGCAGGCTATCGCCCACTAGTACACACAGTACATACGCAGTACATACGTACCACTAGTACACACTCACGCAGTACATACGTCCACTAGTACACACTCACGCAGTACATACGTCCACTAGTACACACTCACGCAGTACATACGTCCACTAGTACACACTCATGCAGTACATACGTCCACTAGTACACATCGTAACACACGTATGATAAAACTTGACGAGAAGCACTAAGATTGAAACAAAGACTCGCTAAGGTATATCCCTGTGTACAGCATTATAGACAGAGTACAAGAGAAATCAAATAACTACTTACTATAAAAATAGTAAGACAGTTTCAAGTTACTGTTTAGCAGGATAGCCAGCTGTTGAAGTTGTTGCCACTGCACCACACTTTGGGAGATGACTGAAGTGGCCTGGTCACTGGTGTCTGTGAGTAGTCTGGACAGCTTGAATCTTGATCTCCAACTAATCAAGTTGTTCCAGGTTACTATTTGCCTGGGGGCTGGCGGCTCTGGCCGCTGGCCAGTCTCAGTGGGATTATGTTATGCGAGGTCAAACTTCAGAGGTCAGGTAACCTTGCCTCATCCCGACAAAGGCCGGGAAGGGGCGGCTCAGCCGCCCTGGCAGTAAGGGAGGGGAGGGGATGGTGGGGTTGGGAGAAGGGTTCCTCAGATGTCAGCCTTCAGGTCACTGCTCGACCTGGCCGCTAAAGGACAGGACCCGGGTTAGTTCCTCCGGGGGGTTAACGAATAATATTAAAAAAGAAAACACAGTCGGCTACCGTCTACCTACCCTCGCCTCCCTCCGACCCCCCCCACCCTTCTAACATCCTGCTCCGACCCTCCACGGCTCCACCACAGTGTCCACCACAGTTTTCCCTTCATTTTTAATTTTATCCAAGTTTGCCCTGAATTTGTGGCGCCCCCAGATGTTGGCGAACTAGACGATCGCCTAGTTCGCCTAGTGGGTAGCGCCGGCCCTGAACGCTTGTAACCATGCTACCACTTCCCAGCACCAAGCTGCATTGTACATCCAATACAACATGTATACAGAGAGCACATTGTGAGTTTCCTTTCTCCATCCCCTCCTGAGTGTGAACCAAACAACCTGTACCCCACAGTATCATCAACGTCCAATGTCAGTCACTGCACAGAATGGTCTTTATAATAATTAACGCATAAATATTTTGACACCGCCTTGTGCGTTCATATGATATCCCAATGAGTCATTTTCAATTGTATTTAGCAATATGAGTTATACAAAAAAAATCAACATGAATGAAAAGAATAAAAAATTACATCATTCATGAAGACTTTGCCAACACGTTAACATAAAATCACGAAACACTAAATTAGTTTTACCTACAAGTCATATGGCAGTTACTGTAAGGCTAGGATTAGTTTCATTGTTAAGTATCATCTACTATCATAAATGTTTTAAGGACGTTGGTGGTGGTAGTGAGGCAACACAGCAGTGCCCCCTGCCAGCTGGTGGAGGGGGCCGCTTAGTGTAGTCTGGTGTGTGACTGAGGGTGTTACGTGTTGTTGCAGCCGCTGCTTATGAGAGGCACTGCGAGCTGCTACTTGTGAAAGGTCCATACAGTCGCTACTTGTGTGAACAGTAGCAGCCATGGCTTCAGTAGAGGTGTGTGAAGAACAGGAAGCACAAGAGGAGAGCATCTATAATACTGTCACTTCTGAGGTCCACCATTTCTCCAAGGAAGAGGTGCTTCATGACACCCCAGGAGGCAAGGCTTATTATTATTATCACCTTGGTGGATACAGGTATGGCAGCCGTATTGACGGACTGTGTAGTTAATAGTTAGGTTAGGCAATGGGGTATGTTAGGTCAAGGGTATTATTGTATGTGTATGTTGCCACTAACCGAATCTCGACAATTCTAAGACACTTTTCTTCTTTGACGTTTCCCTCACAAATGACCTATATATATATTTATATAGTTATGCCCAGAGGTCCACGGTTAGGTTAGCTCAGGTCAAGTCATTTGTGAGCGAAACGTCATAGAAAAGTGTCTTAGAATTGTCTGAACTATTGATTGCAAGGATAAATTTCTCGAGATTGTTTGGTGGCAACCTATACAAATTTACCAGGTTAAGTAAGTTTATTTTTTTATTATATAAATATATATATATATAATTTTTTTTTTTTTTTTTTTAATAGCCCACCCGGGCACAGGTCATCGATCCACAACGGGGCCAAGGGGGCGAAAAAATAAGAATAAAAGGAAAAAATAGGAGAGAAAAAGACAATGTTAATCTACACCACAAACATGCCAGAAAGCCAGCTTTTTGAAGTGAGACATTGTATAAGTATGGAAACACAGAAGGCCGAGCATTTCACTTTTGGCTGTGTGAGGAAAGAAAGATATACTGTAACGGGTTATTCTAGTGTGACCGACATCCACAGAGAAATGGTGGGCACCGCGGGCAAGACGTGTGTTACGAGCCCACGGCCTTGCCGGCGGTACACAGGATGCCAAATCCACCGAACACTGCCCGTTAAAGTACCCATAAAAGAGAGAGAGTGAAGCAACGGTATTTTTTTTTACAAGTTGACAACCAATGAACCTCATGAATTGTTTCTTACCAATCAATGTAATTGATAATTTTAAACTTTTTTGTTCTATATAATATTCTCGCAAATGTTTAATAACAACGACAGAATAGTCGTCAATATAACTTACCAATACTGTACATCAAATCTCCCACATCAGTCAGGACTGTCACTCAACCAGGAGGATGACTTCCAGGGGCAGCCGCTCTGACACCATCTCCTTAACCCCAAGATAACACAATGGGTTAGATTATGTTGTTAGGTTTGGTTAGTTTTGGTGCTTTATGGTTGTTGAGCAATGTGTTTTTCCAATGTATTTTGTTGTGATTAGAAGGAATTTAACTATGATTTTTTCTGCCAATTGGCCGTGTGTGCTTCCCCAACCCGAAAACCCCCATTTCCCTCAGGTCCTCCATATGGGGGGGGGGGGAATAGCTCAAAAATGGCTAATTTGTGACAGAAATCATGGTCAAATTCGTTCAAATCACAACAAAAAACATCAGAAAAACACATTGCTCAACAAAAAATTCATGGTTGTCCACTTGTAAAAATTTACCGAAGCAATATTGCAGCGAAGAGAATGGTTAGCTTAGGTTAAATTAGGTTAGGTTAGTTTAGTTTTGGTTAAGTTAGTCTAGGTTTGGTTAGGTTATTCAGAAAGGCCATCTTAGTAACTATCATTGTATAATCTGCTCACCATGCATATGTATTAGGCTGCTGTACCAATAGACATCAACGTTTTGTAGATGGCTGCCATGCCTGTATATTATTGCTTCACTATTACATAAATGCTTCTGCTTCACTCACGTAACTATACATTTGGGATGGTTAGGTCATTGTTGTATAATTTTAAAACACCTGTTAATTATGAATAGGGGCCAATGCAGTAACATAGCACATAATTAACAGGTGTTTTAAAATTATACAACAATGACCTAACCATCCTAAATGTATCTTAGTATATACAGTGCAGTCCAGTACAGTACAGTATACAGTTCAAAGACAACTACCAGACTAATGTATACTGTAAGTCCAATTGTTAATCCACCTCAATACACACATGATCCTTGAAATACTATAATATGTTACCTCTTGAATGCTGGACACCATGCAGTATCCATTTATAAATGAATGAATACATCAAAACACACTTATTTGTAAATTTCCACTTGAAAATAAAGTTTTTTTATAGGATTAGCACTGTATTGTACCACCAATAACTAAGCAAATCTAGTAACCTACTTAATATACCCCAAGAACCAATCTAACCCAAACAACCTCTAACAATTTTAATTATAACAATAAAATGTAATTAAGCAACTTCAGTCACTCACAATACCATCTTCATGTGTGAGGGTTGGCAGCCTTGGCCCTCCACTCCAAACATTTTTGGTGTCTTTATTAAACCTCCCAGATGTTGTTTCTCTCTGGGGACAACACAGTCATCCACCTTCTAGCCTCATCTCTTCTTATATGATCAGTGTATCTCATTTTTAATATTCTAAAAATTTCCAGTACAGTACTTTCTCATTACTCTAACCCATCTTAGTACAGTACCATACAGTACTGTACTTCATTTGTTTCCATTTCACTTTAACTCATCTTTGCTGGTTCAGCAGTACAGGTAGTGTGTTTGGCTCTCACCACTCTCTGTTCTGATGTGAAAACACTGTTATCCAGTGTAACACTGACAAACATGGCAGGTTTCCTCCTGGTACAGTACAGTACTTCAGTTTCCTTCTGTACAGTACTGACACTGGACAATAAAGGTTATAACAGAGTAACAAATGACAAACCAACTGCCAGAATGACTGACAGTCTGATAAATGTTGGAACACCTCTACTACTGTATTAGATGAATACTGTACCGGCACAGGCAGTCCCTGAGTTACAAATGGGTTACTTTCCTGTTCATAAGTTGGAACAGTGTAAGTTCCATAGGTTAGGTTAGGGGTAAAGCACTCCCCTGCCCATACAAAACAATAATAATATACCATACATTACAAATAATTAAAATACGTACTGTACTGTACTGTCTGTACTGTAAATAAAGTGATGTTACACAATATAATATATCGTACTGTACTGTACACTACAGTACTGTAATAAATAAATCATTACGGATCTTTTTGATGAACATATTGGGATCTGATTTGTAAGTAGTACTGTACAGGTGTTAGTAACTCAGGGACTACCTGTAACAGGGACGGGTCCCGGAATATCAAAAGGGGGAGAACATGGCGAGCACAGTGAGCCCCGCCCCAATATCACAGGCATTTTCAGGCCATCTTGAAGCCATGTGCACTTGATATTGGGAGATATTCAGAGGTCAATAGTAATTACATTTTACTATTCAAAAATGCCCGAGTACAATACTGCATTAAAGAAAATTATTGGAATCTGATGAAAAGGGGGATCCGGACCCCCCCCCCCCCTCCTGGCCCTGTGTAAATACAAATTAGACTCAGGTATCTAGCTCCTTAGGGACTTTGATGAGGTCAGATAATTTATTTTGCCGCAGTATTAATTTCACAGTACTTCATAGACAAGTACTGTACACTAAGTAGTGGTATGTGCATTGTACAGTACCTAAGTAAAATTTAGTAAAAAAAAAAAGATGGCAGCCCAGTACTGTATTGTCTAAAATTTAAACTTCCTATCTCAGAAAATATCTTGAGATATTGCCCAGAGGGAGGGAGAGAGATATACAATGAGGAGGTGCAGTACAGCATTAATCTCCAGTGTTCTTGATAATAGTTTACTTTCTTTTCACACTGTACTGTACTGTACAGTACTGTAATCATCATATGTACATTACTGTAAAAGTGAGTTTTAGTTATACAAAAACCTTACCCAACATAACCTAACTTATAAGTCAGTTAGTAAGGTTTGGTTGGTTCATGTCACCTTAGTATGTGAGTTGATATTATCACTCCCAGTTAAGATTCACAAATTGTCTCCCATGATACTTTATATTGATATTTATTTTAGAAGCCAGATTAAAAAAAGAACTTTATTTTATTATGCTTCTGTTGCAAATTTATATGTACAGAATTTGGAATTGATATTGATTTTTTATTAAGGTTAAGAAAGTCCATTTTGGTGGGAGACTCAGTTTACATCTTGCTCACATAACTAAGTTCTGCCGATAAGTGTTACTCTCAGTCTCACATGATACTCCTCCACGTGATACTCCTCCACGTGATCTCAGTGTCACATGAGACTCCTCCACATGGTCTCAGTGTCACATGATACTCCTCCACATGATCTCAGTGTCACATGATACTCCTCCACATGATCTCAGTGTCACATGATACTCCTCCACATGATCTCAGTGTCACATGATACTCCTCCACATGATCTCGGTGTCACATGATACTCCTCCACATGATCTCGGTGTCACATGATACTCCTCCACATGATCTCAGTGTCACATGATACTCCTCCACATGATCTCAGTGTCACATGACTACTCCTCCACATGATCTCAGTGTCACATGATACTCCTCCACATGATCTCAGTGTCACATGATACTCCTCCACATGATCTCAGTGTCACATGATACTCCTCCACATGATCTCAGTGTCACATGATACTCCTCCACATGATCTCAGTGTCGCATGATACTCCTCCACATGATCTCAGTGTCACATGATACTCTTCCACATGATCTCAGTGTCACATGATACTCCTCCACATGATCTCAGTGTCACATGATACTCCTCCACATGATACTCTTGGCTAGTCACAAGATGGAGTCTCTGTACACTGGATGTTCTTTGTCAGTTTCTCAACCAGTCGACGTGTCTTTGAGAATGAAGTCGCTGTTGTTGACATTTTTAAGGCTCGTGGTATTCTGCCAACTTTTGTGAAGTGTGCAAATTGAAGTGCTTAATATCCAAATTGAATCCATGTATAGTAATAAAAAATGTGTTCCCTTATATATTCATTACATCATCATAAGTGTTGGAGGAGATCTTTGTCTATACAGTTTAGTTGTGTGAAGGAGAATAGATGTAAATATTAACACAGTACAGTACACAATGTCCTTATAGAATACAGTACAGTATATAAGTGGTACCACCTCACACATGGTACCCCTCACACATGGTACCACCTCACACATGGTACCCCTCACACATGGTACCCCTCACACATGGTACCCTCCACACATGGTACCCCTCACACATGGTACCCCTCACACATGGTACCCCTCACACATGGTACCCCTCACACATGGTACCCCTCACACATGGTACCCCTCACACATGGTACCCCTCACACATGGTACCCCTCACACATGGTACCCCTCACACATGGTACCCTGCCCACACATGGTACCCCTCACACATGGTACCCCTCACACACGGTACCCCACACACGGTACCACCTCACATGGTACCATCCACACATGGTACCTCACACATGGTACCCCCACACATGGTACCCCTCACATGGTACCCCACACATGGTACCCCACACATGGTAACACATGGTACCCTCACACACGGTACCCCCTCACACGGTACCCCCACACACGGTACCCTCACACACGTACCCCTCACACACGTACCCCTCACACACGTACCCTCACACACGTACCCTCACATGGTACACTCACACATGGTACCCTCACATGGTACCCCTCACACATGGTACCCTCACACATGGTACCCCTCACACATGGTACCCCCTCACACATGGTACCCTCACACATGGTACCACCTCACACATGGTACCACCTCACACATGGTACCTCACACATGGTACCCCTCACACATGGTACCACCTCACACATGGTACCCCACACATGGTACCCTCACACATGGTACCCCTCACATGGTACATGGTACCCCTCACACATGGTACCCCTCACACATGGTACCCCTCACACATGGTACCCCTCACACACGGTACCCCTCACACACGGTACCCCTCACACACGGTACCCCTCACACATGGTACCCCTCACACATGGTACCCCTCACACCTGAGAGTGTTAGTGGGTCATAGTGTCAAGGTGAGGTACAGTAATAAGAGGCATCTAAATATAGGAGAAGCCCTGGTAGTGGTGTATTTGTCACAGTGAGAGCAGTGTAAGGAGTAACTACAGTAGACAGTCGTGTCATGTATTTCTGGTGGAGGTCGAGGGAGCTGGAGACGTGCCATGGCCAGTATGCTGCCAGTAGCCATTGCTGTACTTTTAACATACCAATACCTAATAATAGATTAATTAGTTTGTTGTGCTCTTCTTTCATTATACTGTAGCTACATAGTTCAGTATAGCATACAGAAGTAGGCTGCTGTACATACTTATTACTGTACTGTAATAAGTTTTGAACCTTTATGTATTTAGCACCAACACATAACCAAATGTGAAAATAAAATAGATAAATATAGTTTTGAGGGAAAGTGCATAGTGAGTGAGCATAAATGTTTGAGTGATGTCAAGATTTTTAAGGCTGACTAGAACACTTAAATAAGATAAGCTTATTCATAAATCAGCAAGTCATCATTATTTCATAAGTGACTTCATCACTACATTTTGCTCTTATGTTGTTATAAAGACGATCTTTTTAATGTACAAGTTTGTGACTTATAGCTTGCTGTTGGCCCTGGGACACTCATTCACTTACCAGGACTTGTTGAGGCAGGACCAACTGGTATACTGTACTGTACTGTACTGTTTTATAATGGTAGACAAAAATTCTGGTAAAGCTGAAAAACTGACTAAAGATTTTTCCAGTGGATGGTGTTGTTGAGGAACTGCAGAAGGGTACTGTACTGGACAGTACATGAATTGTTTCACATCTTGACAGATAACTGCATTTTTTATTTTATTTTTTTTATTAGCCCACCCGGGCACAGGTTACTGACCCACATCGGGGCCTGGGGGGCGAAAATGTAATAATAATGACAATTCATAGTAAATAAAATTTATAATAAAAAATAAAAAATTGAAAATAAAATAATAATGATAATAATAACAGTAACAACACTGTAATAATAATAAAGAACCAGCTCAAGATTGAAGAAGCCGCAAGTCCAGAAAACTGTGAGGGCAAACTTTTTCGGAGTGAGAGTTGTGAACTCTTGGATCAATCTACCAGAAATTTTGTGACGGCACCGAGTGTGAGCTCTTTCAAGACAAGACTTGACCAACACTGGAGCAGGTTCAGGTACATTCAGGAGACGGTGCATGCCCAGTACTTGCCAACAGTGCGTAACAGAGATGTGACCGATCGCCCAAGCTGCTAACGAGCCGATCAGCGGTGAAGAGGATAAAAGTAAGTATAAAGAAATACATAAATAAAAAGTGAGAAACAATATATGTATGTTGTGTTGACAATATAGTAAGAGAAACACTTAAGGCCCTGCAATTGTGTGTAAATGAGGCAGAAAGTCAGATTAGCAACCTGGTACTTGGTCACAATTTTTGTGATGCCAAATGGCAGCAGGGTCTACCATTAGACAACACATTATGCTTCCAATATCTTCCCAGGCGGTAGTACCTCCTTGTTTGGTAGCTGCCTACTACCATTGATTTATATTATTCCTCTCCAATAAAATAGAAGATAACTGCTGTACAACAATGCTGTGCTGAACTTTAAAATATTGAACCTTTATGTCTATGATAAGGTTTTGTGTACCAGATGGGCAGCCTGGAGTAGTGAAGACATTGTGGCTGCCCATCAACAACACTGCCAACACCTACACATGCAAGAACAACCTTTTGAAGGTCTGGCTGTGTGACTGAAAGCAGTAAACTCATCACTATCTTCTGAGCAGCTCGATGTGTAATTCGGTGGTGGATAACCTTGAGACATGTACACAGGCTGACAAACAACCAGAAATTGTGATGTTGAAATTACAGTTAAGCTGATGTCTCATTATGGACCTTCTAAACTTTATATGGATGAGTTACAGTACTACAGCCTTCTTCATGGTCACCTGATGACTCTTGGCACAAAGTTGCGTGTCATAAACTTCAATTTGGGCTTATCTGAAATTGCCTTTCAGCTTCATGCCAAACTGTCAGACTTTCATACCAAGCTGTCATAGAGCTCCATGTCAAGCTGCCACAGGGTTCCTTTCTAAGCTCTCACAGGGTTCCTTGCCAAGCTGCCACAGGGTACCATGCCAAGCTGCCATTGGACTGGTGACTACACTGACCAGTGCCAGAGTGAGAGTTTGTTTAGTTAAAGAGGTTAATGGAAGCCATCAATATAGTATAGTACAGCTGAGTATGAAAGAGGTCCAGAACCTGAGAGTAACTCTGGTGGTGGCAAATAATGTTTGTTAAATGTGTGGGACCACCATTGAAACTGTTCACCTGTAGCTACACCATACAGTACAGTACTGTACACAGAGGCCTGGGTACTGGACCACTGTCAAGTTGTTTACTCAAAAGAAGAAGAAGAGATGGAAACTTCTTATAAAAACTCTTTCCAAAGTTTTGGAGCCAAATCTAAAACTTGGACCAAAATGAACCAAAATAAACAGCTTTCAAGTACAATACAATACAGAACCATACAGTACAGGCAATCCCCAAGTTACAAACAGGTTACATTCCTGGACCCTGTTCATAAATTTATCTGTTTGTAAGTCTGAACAATGTTTATTCCATACATTAAGTTAAATTAAAGCACAAGGCTGCCCATACAACACAATAGTAATATCCCATACCGTACATAAATAATTTAAATATTGTAAATAAGGTGAGGTTAAACAATATACAATACTGTACTGTACTGTACTGTACTGTACTGTACTGTACTTGTATTGAAAAATATAAAATTTACATTTCAGATTTTTGTGATGAATGTACAGTATTGGGATCCCTTTCGTAAGTACTGCATGGGTGTTCGTAAGTCGGGCTTTTGTAACTCTTGGACTGCCTGTACAGTGCAGTGCAGTACAATACAGTACAATACAGTACAATACAATACAGTACAGTAGCAGTACCGGGTATTTATAATATTCTCAATATTTTGGGGGCTGATATAAGGTGTATAAGCTGGACTCCTCTCTGGTGATTACAGTGGACTGTGGCTAATCAAGGATCACGTTTTGTTTAATGTCTCCACAGGTACCCAGAAAATACAGTTTCATAAATTTGATAACATATGTAGCTAATATTGTTGACAATGTTAATATTATTTATGTTATCACATTATTATCTTTACCTGTGTAATGTATGGTATGAGGTTCTGTATCTGCTTTAAGCATGTGTAAATTATGAACATGTGTCAAGTAGAAATTATGTCATAGCATTGTACAGTACTGTCTTGATTTAGTCTAGATAATTATATGATGATGTTAAGAGTACATTATATCAGCTTGAAAGTAAATTTCAGGTAAGGAGACCTTTGGCCAGAGTAAAGTATTATCACTCTTGCCTGAGGCCGAGACAGATGGGCCTCCACAGTGTGTGGCTCAGCTGAACACTGAAGTACACCACCAGCAGCAGGAGGAAGAGGAAGAGTTTGAATGTTTTCTGGGAGCTAATGGTCAAGTGGTTCTTTGGAGCTCAAGAAGAGAAAGTAGGCATCATTCTCTGCTTTGATATTGGCTACAGTACAGTACAGTACAGTATAGTACAGGGATCACCACAGGATGTTGGCACCAAAAGAGGTGCACAATACAGTACTGTCAACAACGAATCCTGGCAAATGGGGCAAAATTGAGTAGATCATCTAATGAATAATGATGTACTGTAAGTAGAGCACCATAACTATCATCTGTTATCACTAGAGTCTGGATGTTATGGCAAAATGCCGATATGTACCTGTACTGTACAAATTTTTATTTATTTTTGTTATTTCAGCCAACATTGCATATTTCCTCTGTGTGTGCATTTTTTTGCTGTCGTTCTGCTTAAAGGGAAGGCCCAAGGTTTTTTAAAAGAAAGTCTCTCGACCTATAGAGCTTTAGTTTTGACAATTAGGAAAAAGTATTATGTGTCACAAGTACAGTAAATAAACCTGTTGTTTTGTTCACATTTGTGCCTGACAGGAAGCAAAGTTTCTGTTTTGATATTAAAATGTTATTATGCACAACCAATAATGACTCTGCTTCAGCATTATCTTCCTACCAGGAGATATTGTTTCAATTTTGAGAGTTTTAAAAAGAATATTGTTACTTGACTCTGCATACTTAAGGCCACTTAGCCAGAGAACCAGTCAGAACGAGCTGGTGTGCTCACTCGTCTTACTATCGGCTAGATCATGTGCCGGTCTAGCATTACATTATAGGTACACATATTACAGGTACATTATACCTCTGGCAACAAAGTGGATATGTTGACAAAATCCTCTTTGTTCTGGGAGACTTTTGAGGTCAGCGGTAGAGTTAACATGGAGTAAATGAGATTAAATTCCAGTCCTTTCTTATTCTGTATTTTTCATATGCATACCAAAAAAAAATAAATGCTACAGTAAACAATAAAAATTATATATAGCACATCATAAAGTACATTAATATGTTTTACAAACAAGAAATAGCTCTTTCCATCCTCAAACTGTCCTCTGGGTGGTTAACACCAAGAGTGGGTGTCATAGTTGAGTCAGGCAGCCACCCAGCTGACAGTGTGTGTGGCTGCTGCACTCTGTGCATGATGTGATGTTACATTTGGGGAGCCAATCTATGGTGAAGAAGATAAAGTAAACTTACAGCAGAGAGGTGTGCGTGCGTGCATGCATGTGTGTGTGTGTGTGTGTGTGAGATAATAATAATAATTAAAGATTTATTAAAATAGTTCTGCAGCCTAAAGGCTGAAAATATACATTGAACAAAAATGACTTATTACATACAACGACATGGGGTGGGTGCGCCATTTAACAAAATTTTCCTTTACTGAAAGAAGAAGGAATATGAATTGAACATATAAATTATTATAGTTTACAGTTGATGGCCCGGGCCTGGTCCTTTGCCATGCTGTGTGAAGTCACATAGGCCACGCGGTGTAGTGACTCGTCCATAGGTGTTCACATGAAGGACCTCATGTGGTCATGGAGGCACCCGGTGGTATGGTGTGGGGTCACAGTACCTCACTCTCTGCTCGGTGATGTTGTGTTATCTCATAGTCAGGCACATAGCCGGCCCCCTGTTGTTTCCAGGGTGGACAGATTAACACGTCTGTCTGGTCAGAGGATGGTTCCCAGGGGTGCTTATCTCAGTGGTGGGTCACGGCTCTCACTGGTACTGTCTAGTGCTGAATTCACTGGCTTAAACACTGTTCAACACTGATCCCACTTCTTTCCGAAACGAATGTGTCTCTTTTGATGGGAATATGTTGATATCCCGGTGGTGAGGATGGGTCAAGGAGAAGGACTTGAGGAATAGGCCGAGCATTGGCCAAGGCGGACAGCTGTTATAGCAGGAGCAGGCGCCCGATAGGTCTTGACCCTTCGGTGGTCAAGGCTGTAGTGTGTGTGTGTGTGCTGAAATAGTCCTAACTAGGTGAGTCCCCAGACAAACCACCAACTGCCTCCAAACATCATTTACCTCCCACACACAATTCTAAGTTACATTAAAGTATTGAAATGATTTTTCTACACCTTTTATAGTTTTAATACATGTACAGTGGTCCCTCGGTTAACGAACACAGTTCGTTCCAGAAGGTCATTTGTTAACCAAAAATTTCGTTAACCGAATCCATTGTTTCAATGGGATATTGGGTAATTGGTTCCAGCTCACCGAAAAGTACATACAAAGTAAAAAAAAAAAAATGCAGTAAAGTACACTTACTTTGAGGTGTGCATGTAGAAGGCTTCTGGTTGATGATGATGATGGGAATTAGAAGTGGGGGTGGAGGAGAAGGGAGAAGAGAACGAAGTGGGGATAGAGGAGAAATCACCTTTCAGGGGATCCATGCTTGATGCCTCATTTCACCAATAAAATTTTAAGTTCACTCGGTGTAATTCAAGATTATTTTCTTTAAATCAACACTGCACTATGTATTATCAATATGTTAATTAAAGTTCAGAATGACCAATAATTTCAATGAAAAATGAAAAAATATTCAAGACACCAACAAATAGATGCTCTCTCCTTGGTTTCAAAACTCAACTGACACCTTGTGACCGACTCACGCATTCTGATGAGTGCACAACAAACTAGTTCCCTGTACTGCATATATTATCAATATGTTAAATAAATGTTAAAATGACTAAAAATTTTCATATAAAACATGCAAAAATATTAAAGAGCACAACTTTATTGATATTTACTCCATTGGAAACGAATGTAAACATAAAACAGATTACTGAATTGGCAGAGTAACCCATCAGCTGATGCTCACAACAAAACGTGATTTTTGTAAGGATTTCGTTAATCAAATTTTTGTTCGTTAACCGAATTGAAGATCCTTATAGAAGGTATTTCGTTAACCAAAATTTAGTTAACCGAGGGACCATTGTAATAATGGTAACACCCATCGCACAGGCCACAGCTGACTGGCGATTTGTGTAATGTTTTGAGTTGTGCACTTAGTTCTGATTGGCTGAAATCAAAGCAAGCAACTATCATGCTGTACTGATTGGCTGAAATCAAAGCAAGCAACTATCACACTGTACTGTAATTTATTAATTTAAATGCCCTGTGAAGGTTGGGCATCTCTCCTACCAGCCAGGAATCTCTGATAATTCATATATAAAACTCAAGTCCTGGTCAAACATATTTGCCCACATGACCTCATGTTCCTCGGGTGGTCGGGTCATGACCTCATGTTCCTGGGGTGGTCGGGTCATGACCTCATGTTCCTCGGGTGGTCGGGTCAGAGGACCTTCAGACCTTGGCTTAATGTCCTACAGATATACTCTGTAAATCTCTCTCTGTCTTAGTTTGCTTCAAGATGTGGTCCAAGAAAACTCTTGCTCTGGCTCTGGTTTATTTGTACAGATAACTTGTTCAAAGGTGCAAACATTGATACAGTGCAGGGCAAGATGGTTAGAATTTAGTAAAGGAATATCAGAAAACAGAATGTGTTCAGTTATGGAAGAGATATTCTGGAGAACTGAAACAACTAAGAAGAAGAAATGCCCTGAGTGGAATATTAAGGATAACCTAAAGTACAGTTTTAAGGATAACCTAAAGCACAGTTATACTTCCACGTTGGCAGACAGTATGAGTCATAAAGCAACCTCTACTGTTTTGCTCACCGATACTGTACAGTACCTGTACTATAGTACAGCATGCTGTGCATTATATTTGTATTGTACGAGGAGTATTTGAACTGAAAGAGTTATGCCTTTTTTTTATATTGCAAGTTCATGATTATATATATATATATATATATATATATATATATATATATATATATATATATATATATATATATATATATATATATATATATATATATATATATATATATATATATATATGTGTGTGTGTGTGTGTAGACACACACACATACACACACAAAAAGAACACATACAGTAGGCTCTCACCAATAACGTTTAATATGTGCCTGAAAAACACCGTTATTGGCGAAAACGTTATTTGTGTGACATTAAAATACATGTAACAAGGGTTTATTGGTGCCGCCGCCACAAGAATTTCACCCATTTTTTCCCCTTGAAGCCCTCCTAACACTTTTTGTTAGCTGAAATAAAAAGAATTGTTATTCAATCATCAAAATAAAGAGTTTGAGTAATATAACACTTAGCTTGGGGGAGTTTTTGAGGTGCTTGGTGTGATGGTTGTTCCATATCTGAGGGTCACTAACACTTGCACTGTCTTTCATTCTACAAGTTAACCATTTCACAAGAAAATGCTCTGTTATCACTAACAACCTGTTTCTACCGCCTTTATCATTCATAGCTCGCCTCGCATTTCCATCACTACTGAAATATTTTTAGCCAGCACAATACTCTTCTTGGTCTCCTCTAAGTTCCTCTTAATATTTCGCACTGTAGACTCAGGACAGTTCAATTTCCTCACAATATCAATGTTCCGTGCACCACTTTCAATGAGCTCAACAATCTGTTCTTTATCCTTGACCGAGTACGCACGCTTCTTGAGGCTTTGTCTCTTAGCTTTGGGATCTTTTTTCTCATTCACTTTAAAAGTTCCGGGTTTTCAGGCGGCAAATCACTCCCTCCACCATCTCCCCTAACCCCCACAGGCAAAAATGCGGAAGCCATTGTTGATCACTGACCCTAACAACCTCTGGTTATAGAGGCGAAAATCTCACAAGTGGGCGCAGCGCTGTATTCCACGGAGCGTGTGTGAGAGTGAGAGTGAGGTGGAGTGGAGTGGACAACTACGTCATCAACATGGCGGCAAACAAAAGCTATCATTGATGCGCTCGGACGCTTCCCGCGAAATCTCCGTTATTCAAGAGAATCCAGACGTTATCGAAAATGGGTATCTATTGTAACTTACCGTTATTGTCGAAAACGTTATTGTGGAAGTCAAGATATATATATATATATATATATATATATATATATATATATATATATATATATATATATATAGGTATATATATATATATATATATATATATATATATATATATATATATATATATCAACTT